CTTGTGGGGAATCCGGGCCTGGGTGGACTTGTAGTAATCAAGAGCAATATTATGCAGTATTCCACACCAATCAAAGCCCAGCTTTCAATAATCTGTCAACTATAAAGCATTCAACTACGAATTTCTGTATGTTTGCAAGGGGCTACCAAAAATAACGGTTATTGTATAGTATCATTAAAAGGTTTGTATGGGAATCTGTACAATGGAACTGGGCAACCATAGCCATTGGTGTGTGCAGGTAACCAAAGGACATACAGCATGGGATTAAAATAATACAATTGTGACATAAAATCGCAGTTACTTAATTATAAAATAGCTGTTCAAAAATCTTTCCAATTCCACTCTGTCAGCTCTAATCTTGTCATGATTATTAAGTAATGACTTCATTGCAGTGTAAAAGTAGTTTAGATGGAAATTATCCCTGAATGAGTTCCACTTCTAGTTTGAAAGATGATTCAATCATTGTTTATTTTGATCAGTGCATTCATTGGAATAACATCTGTACGGTGTACCCAAGTACATACATAAAAATAAGGCGAGTGCACAATGATTTATCGAATAAAGATTAGATTTGGCTTGGCAGCTGATAAAGGATATGATTATGACTATAAAGTCATTTATATTGGACTCAATAAACGGTGTAGAGGTGTGTTTACAGCTCAAGAACTGTACTCATAATAAGTTTAACATAATTTCTCTGGTAACCATTGGATATGTGCCACTGCAAAACCACAGTGCTTGTTGCCTGTCAGTGTAAAAGCTGTCCTCTGGTGTGCGGTCCAGGGACCCCACAACACAAACAATGCTCCCTCTTGCTAATCAGCACCTTAGTTTTAAACAACATCCTAAAATAAATGTCCTAAATACTCAACTAAATCTATGGTCACATTGAGTCCCAAGTCTTTCATTTTCCTTACTGCAGAGTAGGAGGGTCAATCTTTAGATGTTTATCACTGTCTGGTGACATGGACATTTACCATTGGCTGTCCAACAATGGTGTGCTAACTGGTCCTAAAAAAGGAATGGCAACAAGACTGGTTGGCCAACTGATACTGCAGCACTGGATCATTGGTCTTGATTAGCAGGAGAAGTTCGGACAAGGGACATGTTATGATGGAGTCAGATAAGAAAATAAGGTCTTTGTTGGTATTTTTGTTTTTATGGAGTTGTATATTGAGATTCTATCATAGGAAAGCTTCAAACTGACCCTAAAATGTTGGAACACAATATTTTGAATGGGGGGAAGCAAAGGTAGGCAATTACTGGTTAAAATCATTAATTTTATGCTATTAACCTCTCTGGCGGTAATCCCGAGTCTGGCTCGGGTTGAATTTTCAATGCTAGGAGCGGTAACCCCGAGCCAGGCTCGGGGCTGCAGAGAAAAGTGACACTCACCTTGTCCCTGCGATCCCGCGGCGTCCTCTGCTGTACGCGGCTCGAAAATGAACTAAAAGCCGGCATCTGACTTTTAGTTTCGTTTTCGGGAGTCACAGCAGGCGGGAAATTCAAAAGTGAAAAGTTGTAATGTACATAGAATACACACAATATAATGTAATCTGCTATGATTACACTTATGTATCAAACTATTGTACCGCTTTTGGTACAAAATTCCTGACATAATCATACCGCCAGGGAGGTTAAAATTAATTGTAATCTCACAGCTGGTGTATCACCTATAGTGATTGCACCATTTTGAATGCAGCTCAATTTTTTGCCTTTTGATATATCAGGCATGTCTCAAAATCATGTGTTAGACGTCAACATGTCAGCTGTAACTGTGGGTGCTACCTACTAATGATTTTAATTACTATTCCCCCTTTGCTTCCAACTGTTTCTAGTGTCATGAGTGGTGTGCCTCAAAGTTCTGTGCTGGGTCACATGCTGTTCACCCTATTTATTAACGACATCGGGGAGGGTGTGAATAGCAATGTTTCAGTGTTTGCTGATGATCGGGAGGGTAATAGAAACGGACCTAGACAGTATAACATTGCAGGAGGACCTGGATAAAATAGGGGAGTGGGCATTAATATGGCAGATGAGGTTTAATGTCGATAAATGCAAAGTAATGCACTTTGGAATTAAAAATAAGCAAATGGGCTATACAATCATGGGTATGCCGCTAGGGAAGTCAGAAATAGAAAAAGATTTGGGAGTCATTGTAGACGACAAACTGAATAGTAGCTTGCAGTGCCAGGCTGCAGTAAGCAAAGCAAGCAGAGTCCTGTCTTGTATTAAGAAGGGGATGTATTGCAGAGACAGGTCTATAATTGTGCCACTTTACAGATCACTGGTGCGGCCTCATCTGGAGTATGCGGTCCAGTTTTGGTCACCAGTGAACAGAAAGGATGTCCTTGAGCTGGAAAGAGTCCAACGGAGGGCAACCAAACTAATTAGGGGAATGGAGGACCAGAGCTATGAGACAAGGCTACTAAATTTAAACATGTTCACGTTGGAAGTAAGGAGATTAAGGGGGATATGATTTTCATGTACACGATGGTCAATGGTGACAGCAACATTAGCAACAAACTCTTTACGATTAACTCCATTACAAAAACTAGAGGCCACCACCTAAAATTGGTGGAAAAAAGATTCCAGCACAAGGGGCGAAGGGGGTTCTTCACAGTTAGAGCGGTTAGGGTCTGGAACTCGCTGCCACACGCAGTGATTTCAGCTAAGAGTGTGGAATCATTAAAGAAGCTTTTGGAGACCGTAATATACAGGGGTACAGGTATTCTTAAGAACGAGATGATACATGGACCTATACATATGCACACATCATCCAATAGGTTGGACTTGATGGACTTATGTTTTTATTCAACCTCAAATACTATGTAACTATATAACCTTCTTTTTAAGCAGCTTTGGTCAACTTCTTCACTTGTCATTTTCACCAAATTTCAGTTAATGTGAAATAAACCTTTTGCATATAACATTTATAATTTATACAGAGTTTCCTCCTTTTCTGTTGGTAATTTAGCCGCCCATAGGATTGTCATAAACCATTATTACCATGGAGGAATGGCAGTATCAAAATAATTCTCAAGCAACAGTATTTTTTCCTTTTACTGTGTCCCATATTTTTTCACTTACATCTTACAATATCACGTTTCAAATGTTTATATACTGGAGAAAAAATTGTAGTCAACATGTGGCAAAGTGCATCTAAACACAAAAAATATATTGATTTCCTTAAACTAATGTCAACACTTCAAAGAAACCTGGGCCAAGAAAATTTTATAGGTTGCAATGACTGACCTTTTGCTTAAAATGCTAGTACCTAGGTCTTCACTGATCCATTTGCATCTATACTTATTGAGACACTGACCAATAAGGGTGGACCTGATAAAGAGGACTGCCCTGAGGCTTGGGATCTATAATGTTGTCATGTTTTATGTCATCAAGCTCTTTTACATAACATCCTTTTGGCACAGGTGTTCAGATCACATGCCACAAGATGGTAGATGAGCTATTAATCCATTAGAGTATGTATTCTATGACTTTTTATAAATTTTAAGTTTTGTTAGGGAGTAGGGGATCATATTTAAATAAGTCTGTTATCTCTTAAATAGAATTGGCCACTAACATATAGCTGATTCCCTTTATTCAGTGTATTAACGTATTGTTTTTCTTATCTAACTCTTAAACAGGCTTGCCAATGAAAACTTAGGTGAGAAAATCCGTGAACAAAATCAGCTCTTGGCTCACCTCACTGAGGAAAGAGAGTAAGTCTTGTTTTTTTCACTCCTGCTTTTCTGCTACATCGTCAGTAATGTTTGCTATGGAGTTCCTCCTAAATTACTGTAATCTCTTCAACTGCCCATGTAATACATTTCATATGTTTCTATTAAAGGTCAGCTCATTGTACGCTCAGAACAGAACTTTCATTACGGTGTTGCACAGTTCCAAATGTGAATTTCTTTGGTCAGATGTCTGTTTCAAGCTAGAGCTGTAACACACTATAAACATTGTCAGAATTGTACTTCTGATTCCTTCTCATTTAAAAAGGATCAATTATCAAACCCTGATGAAACACATTCTTATGATTTTTATAATCTGTACCTTGATGTATAAGGTTACACAATCTTCTAGAGGATTGAAACATAAGTCTAAAATGAAACTTTGTTTTGTTGTAAGGTTTGCAATTTTGGATCATCCATTTTTATTCGGATTTCATAACTGCCCAGATTCTACGCCAGTTGTTCTTTAAGATGAGACCAAAGCCTTTACCTTTTAACAAATGCATTATTCTTCTGATCCTTCTATGTCATAATGTGGAAGGGTCTCCTTTATTTTGTCCTTTTCATTTTATTGGGACCAGGGTGTATACTGTACATATTTTGCTTCAACTCTAGTACTATGGTCAACCATATAGAGGGAGCGGCTTTCTTTGGCATTCATTTAAATTAAAAAATCCTCTAAGATCTAAGTTTTTTTTTTCTCAAATAGATGTTTATTGAGATTTGACAGAGAAGACAATCATTAGCATGTTACAGTATACAAAACTGCCTGTGGCAGGGAGGTCAACACATTCAATATAGCACTAGGTGCAAAAAACATAACATTGTAGTCTAAAAAGACAATGATAAACCTAAGGGAGAGGTTACAATGTGGAACTCAGTAACTATAATATACAGTCCCTCAAATAACTGACCAGGACAGGTCTAGCTTGCCTCTGGCTAATAGGTTTCACCTCTTAACAAAGAGTAACCGTATTTCCATTGGTGTAGGTTGGTAGAACTGTCCTTCCTGTTAACCTTATGTAGTGGTGGGCAGCAAAGCTGAACACCGTGCAAGGTAACATATTGCTACAGGCAACAATAAGTCAAACAACACATAGGGGAGCAAAGGGAAACACAACAACAAACAATGGGGGAGAAAGAGAGAGGAAGGAGAAGAAGAAGAAAAGAGTTCTGGACTGTTTCTTGGTGGAGGAGGCGATTAACAGAGAGGCTGCGAGGAGGTGGCGTCAGATGTGCCAGAGACGTCGGGCAGCGTTAGAATTAAAGAATTTGTCTATCCATGGTGACCAGATTGCCTCGAATTTGTGCATGGAGTCTTGAAGTTGTGCAGTGCGTTTTTCTTGGGCCATGATCCAGTGAATATGTGTTATCACATGCAAAATATTAAGTGATTTTGTTAGCCAGTTTAGTGCAATCTCTCTTTTAGCAGAGGAGAGAATGTGGAGGGAAAGTTTTAAGATCTTATCAGGGATATCTTCCGGTTTACAATTCAGTAGGGCAAAGACCGTGTCCTTTGTCAACGTCTCCGAGACCAGCGAGTTCATGAGTACGAATATCTCATCCCAGAAGTTCGATACTATTGGACATTGCCACCACGTGTGTATAAAAGTACCTCAATCCGGGCATCCTCTGAAACAATTCGGTGAGCATTGAGAGTTATAGGTGGCCACTCGGGCTGGTACCAGGTACCATCTCATGAGGACTTTGTAGTTTATTTCCAACATACTTGCACACCTCGAGCTGGATTTGGTGTTCTGCCACGACTGCTGCCAGGATTCCTCATCCATGATATTTCCTAGATCAGTATTCCATTTAGTCACGTATGAAGGGGGAGGGTCATCCGGAAGAGAGAGTAGAGATGTATAGAGAAGTGAGATAAGTCCAGGGCCATGTGGGTGTTCACAACAGGCTCGTTCGAATGGAGAGAGTGTAGTGGCTCTGGTAGGACCGTCGACAAGTGTTGTAAGAAAGTGTTTGTTCTGAAGGTAGCGAAAAATGTCTTTGTTGGGAAGTGAGTAATGCTCCTGTAAGTATGGGAAGGACTTAGAGGGGCTATTGAAAGCTGGGGGGAAGGATGGGTTACCCAGTATAGACATAAAAGGTTTATGTGGGGAGACTAGACTGTACAACTTTTTAACCAAATCCCATAATTTAAGGGAGTGGGAGGTGACGGGATTTTGCAAGAGGGGGCGGCACTTGGGGGATAGCCAAAGAAGATTAGCTACCGTTGTGGGGTGTGTCATCGCATCTTCCAGCGCCACCCAAGCCGGGGTCTCCTGCTTCGTGTGGCATTTGGAGAGTTGGCCTATCTGCGCTGCTTGGTAATATTTAAGCAGGTGTGGGACTGCGAGTCCCCCCTGGGATTTTGGAAGATAAAGCGTACGTCGGGGAATTCTAGCTCGACGATCTCCCCAAATAAAGGGGAAGATATGTGATTGTAGTTTGCACAGAGTAGGGGTTGGAACAGATACTGGTAGAACTCTAAATAAGTATAGGATTTTTGGCAGGAAGGTCATCTTAACAGCAGCTATCCTACCTAACCATGAGAGTCGGTAGTTCGCCCCGGTTTTTAACATTTGTAACAGTTTATTCACCATATCCGGGTAGTTTGCTTTGTATAAGGAGTGATAGGACGGGGTTAATATGATTCCCAGATACGGAAGGTGAGATGGGCACCAGGAGTAATTATAGTGTTGTTGTAGGGACGACACTAAATTGGGGGGTAGGGATATATTCAGGGCCAAGGATTTAGAATCATTAGTGTGCAGCCCCGATATGGAGGAGAAGTCCGTGAGTAGTTTCGAAAGGTTAGGCAGAGAAACTAGGGGATTAGTTATAAAGATCAGTGCGTCATCCGCAAACATGCATATTTTATGTGATACACCCGCATGGGGAATTCCTGAAATGTTTGGGGAAGTGCAAAGAGTAGCTAATGAATACAATATTATAATGGGCCATCATTGCAAAGGAAAGCGTGAATGATGTCAGGGAAGTATTAAGGGGTACAGGTCTGGGGTGGTGGTCCAACCGTTCTTGAAGAAGTGCAGACAGCAATGAAGAGAGGAGTCTTCCCTCGTGTCTTCGGTGTCGCTAGTTGATCTAAGATGGGTGTCAGTCTGTACAACAGTGCAAGGGTCGATTCGGTAAATCCTCTAGGAGGTGAATGATGGAGGTATCCAAAAAGGTGGTATCTACTCCTGAATAGAGGTAGCATAGATCATACATTCCTATTAACTTGCAAGAGTGCTGCAGTTCGGGGAAGAGGATAAAACCAATCCTCAAGGAGTAAACAGAAGGCAAATCTCGGCCCTTGCATGCCTGGGCCTAGCTCAGCGTGTCGTGGCAGCCTTAGATGTCATCTTGACCGCAGGTCTTCGTGACTCCCCAGAATGGTTATGATCCGAGTCACTCCGGGATCTCTTAGAGGAGGTAGCTGGGCTGCCACGGGAGTTAGAGGTAGACTGGGGTGGATCCAAGAGGCCCAGGGATGCCAGATTATCTTGGGTTTCCTCTAGGGTCACACATGTGTGATGCTTACCTCCATGGGAGAATAGTAGACGAAATGGGAATCTCCATTTGTACTGGATGTGGTACCTCTAGACAAGGCCGTAGAGCTCTCCTTTTTGAAATGGTCGAGGGGGCTAGATCCGCAAACAGCTGATATTCGTGTCCCTGGAAGGACAGTGGAGCTTGTGCAGACTTGGCCCTAGCAGCTGCCGAAAAAGTCTCCTTCGTGCGGTAGAAGTGTAATTTCACCAGCACATCTCTCGGAGGACCATCCGGGCATTTTCGTGTCAAGGTCCTATGGACCCTCTCAATCTCGAGTCGGTCTAGAGGGAGTTCCGGGGCCAACTCCTGAAAGAGAGCCGCTGTAGTAGCACACAGGTCTGTGATATGCTCAGGAAGGCCTCTTATCCGGAGATTTGATCGTCGGGATCTATTTTCCAGATCCTCCAACTTAGATAGTAACTGTGTATTCTCTTCCCTCAGCGAACTCACGTCTCCTGAGATACTTGAGAGGTCCGTTTTAACGTCGTCACAGCGGTCCTCCAGAGCAGCGGTACGATGGCTGATATCCCTGATCTCCTTCACAAGCCTGTCTGTGATTTGCTTAGAGGTGGAGTGTAGGGCCTTCTGTAGCATGGTTTCGAATCATTGTAGGAGCGCTGACTGCGATCTGTTGCGGGATCTATCAACTTCTCTTGTCCCAGCGTCTCCCTCGTCCATGTCACTACTGGAGTCTAAGGCAGCTGTACACGCGGGAGATTGTGCCGCGGTCGCCATTTTGGCTGAGGCTTTGCTCTTTTCTGAGGCGGGCTTACTTTTCGTCGTAGCTGTAAATTTGGAGCCCGAGGAAGTCATCTCCTGTGTCAGGGTGGATTCCGGTACCTAGGCAGGTAAATCAGAGTAGTGGGAAGCGCGAGGCTCCCGGGTTATACGTGATTTGTACGGGCGGGCAGCGGAGCTGTCTCAGAAGACGTCTGACATGACAGCCGTGCGCAATGCGCTCTCCTAAGATCTAAGTTTTTAATGTAACAGCATTATAGTTGGTAAGCCTGTTGCAATTTTAGATACACCAGAATACATTTCAAATCCAACTTAGTTTTATGGTGCAAAAGGATTACATTTTTTTTGAATAATAGAAATTTTTTGTTATAAATAATGTGCTGCACCACTATACAGCGTCATGCGCAATAGAGAATGTTAGAGTTGTATGAGTACTGTATATGAGTGCCACTAAACTCAGGATATTAAAATGTATCTTATTTATGTATCACTCAGATCCTCGATTCATCTCTGAATTGGTGCTGACACTGTCCTTTCTTCTGGAGGGTGACTACTTTTGTTCCCCATGGTCCCTGTGTGTGTTATAAAGTAGCCACTGCTCCAAGCTTGCTCCAGTAATGTACTACAATCTCAATACAAATTAGTAAACAAATATCATATTGTAGTCCATCACAGGAGTGAGCTTCCTCCAGAAG